CCTTTTAATAATTTATTTGGACTCATTTGCACTTTTTAAAAAATTTTGGGAGTATGATTGAAATTTTAACTTTTAACTTTTTCTTTTCCCTTTTATTGTTTTATTTAAATATGGGGTATATTTGTCATTTTACACCAGAAATTTGATGAAAATGATGATTTTCACGATAAAATATGAAGGTAAGGGTAAAAGTGTCGAAAAATGAAAGATATTGACTTTTTGCACAATAACATTAAAAAGTATGAATGTTTTATGCTAATTACCCTTATTTCAAATAAATTTGTTCTTCTTCACGAACGACATTCTTTAAGAATACTAATATGTAATATTTTTGCTTCTTCTGGAACAATATATCATCTTCTAAAATATTGAAATTTTAATAACATGCTCTTCAAAAGTAGATAATTCCATTTGGAACATTTATATAGGATGGGTTGTGTTTCTCTAGAACAACAATACCATATTCATTTAATATAAGCTCTTGTTTGTCAATCATTCTCTCACATTTTACCACATTATTTTTTTTATAGTACTTATTTCCAACTCACATTCTCCATTAAAATAATATTACACATATATCAAAAAAATTTCCTTCTTTTTTAACCACACATTTCAACATCAATCACTATTCCATACTCCAATTTTTGAAATTAAAGGGCTACAAACATGGCTTAAATATAATTTCTAGTAATGTTTTTTCAGGGGCACAAGTTAAATCAAAATATTTAACCAATCTAAAAAATCACATAATATATAATAGAAATAGAAAGACTTCTAAAAAATATACTTACGTGAATTTGAAAGTTTTAGAAATTCTTGCATAGTTGACAAATCTTATATTCTTTAAAGATACAATTTTTAAAAAAATAAAATAAATAAATTATAGTACTTAAAATATAATATTGTTCACATAGCTATTTTCTCACAAATGAACCGTTGGATTTTAATAGGAATCTTTGGATTTGAAGCAAAACGAGTTGTGAACATTTTATCCAAATTTCATGATGATCGAACAATGACACACAGAGATATCAACGTTTTGTCATAACAGTGCAGGCTGTCCAGATTTTGTGAATTTCTGCACTATTGATTCCGAAATAATAGTGCAATTATTCCATAGTGTATAGAATCACTATAGAATTAACAAACTTCAAGTTTGTGATAATGTCAATTTTATGAATTTAGAGTACATGCTAAAAGGGAGTGCTAATAATTTTTCTTTTGTCTACTTCTAGCCATATACAAAAGAAATATAAAGATATTCTATATTATTTTCTTGTATTATCTCAATGTCATATTAATTGCAGCTGATATTTTAACTAGGCAAATTTTTTCTGAATTGGCTAAAATAAAGTACATCGTTAATATATAATTTTGTATTATTTGATAAAATAATACATGCTCTTCCGAAACTTTCAACGAATTGGATGCAACTGATGTCATATTAACATTATTTTTACTATTATTAAGTCCAGAAAATACTTTTTGTTTTGGAGAATTGTTCGCATTTTTGCACTATCAAATAAGCATGTATAATGACATTTCATCTCCAATTTTGTGATGTATACCATTTGAGTAACTTTACAATAAAATACAATTAATTTTGAAGATTATGATAATATTGTATAATCATATAATAATCAATTAAGTGTTCAAACAAGTCAATGTCAACATGACATTAATTATATGTTTTTTTTTCGAGGATAAACACTAATTAAAAATGATATATTATTCAAAATATGTGCTACTTTGATAGCACATCGTATTTTATTGTTATATCTTCAAAAGTAATGTGTCAAATCTTCTGCTAAAATATTGAAAATTACGATTCATGCTTTTTAAGAGCGATCACACATTATTATAATGAATTATACAAGGATTAACTATTCACGAGTAAAAAAATTTAAGTTAGATTGTATTTATTATACTCTTCTGGAGCAAATAAAACTTGACTAGCACATCAATATATAAATACATATACAGAAGAAAGGACACATAAGGAAATTAAGTGTTTAATTCGTGATTTTACATTGAAATCAATCGATATTCTTTTGAAATATTTGTGCTACTTCGGGGACAACAAAATTTAATTACGCATCAGGAGCAAAAATATAATGTTAGATCTTATAAAATTATGCTCTTCAGGAGCAAGAAATATATATATATATATATATATATATATATATATATATATGAAAATTGATGGATTCATAGATAACGAACATTATTTAATATATTAGTTGACAAAATAATTTATTTGATACACTACTTTAAATTGATTAATCAATTAAATATATAATCACAAACAATAAATAATTGCTTACAGCCGACCATTAAAATTGTTACCAAAGTTGATTCCGAACATCGATTCAATGAACGTGATTATGTACACATATATTAAGAGTTCCATGCAAACGTCCTGCCTTGTAACGACTCGAAACCTATGTCACGCAGGTTATTCAAATAATTCCTTTAGCCATTATAAATGTTGGTTGATACATTATAATACAAAAAATAAATAAATAAAATGAAGAACATTGCACAATAAAATAAGTTATTTTATTGTCTCATAAAAATGTCAATTAATCTAATCAATATAAATCAAGCACTTATCTTTTAAAAATTTAATAACGATTTTGAACATTAAATACATTAAATTCTAAGTAGAAATTTAATTTTCTAACTAAATACTAAATATTGAAAGAAAAACATAAATTCTTGGTGACCTCCAACTTCGATCTATCAAGCATATGTTAAAAATAATTTAAAATATGGAATGAGTATGTGAGCACGCTCAATACAAATTTCATGCTAATATTTTCACAATTCAATGTAAAAAATAAGTAAAGTATTCACATAACATAATTTTCTTATGGGATAGAAACTCAGCCTCTCGTTCTCCCTTGTGTCATAGCCATTCTCAATATCTACTTAGTGTATGCAGCCACATGACTAATTTCTGTGTAAATCTACATAATAATACCTTATGATGTTACTCACAAGATCCTGATTTAATTTAGATTACATAATAACACATAAAATACTTTACTTAAAATGTTAAAAAGTGACAATACAAAACCACTGGGCATTTAGGAAAATTCATACCTTACTCATTAAATTTCTTGTGTATTTAAGCTATTTAGAGCTGAAAATTCTTGCAAACAAATTTCAAACGCGCTAGAAAACTTGTTTTTTTCCCTTTTCCTTTATTTCCTCTCTTTTCTCTCTCTTCCTCGCTTTCATTTTTTCCTCCCTTTTATCAAGACTAGTCTTTTGCCTATGCAATGGACAGATTTTGTAATTTTGAAGTTAATGTTAGCGTGCTTGAAGAATAGATTCATACCTCTTGTTTCTTTTGCAAGTTTTTCTCAAATCGTCAATGTGTAATATAGCATTTGTTCATGTGCTTGCTAACCAGAAATTAATGAATATTTATAATCAACTTTATTATCAAATATTATGAAAGTGTAGGAAACAATTACAAAAGAACATATTTTTTATTAAATGGCAAATGGAACTTAATAACATTCGAAAATTGCAACAAAAGGTGTAATGTTGGATGACAAAAAGCACGAACATAATATAAGTAATCATATTTACAGGAAATGAGCTGTAGAAGATGCAAAGAAGCAAAAATCCTTACGTCCAAACATTGACGGTGTCGTTAATGGTGATTAAGCTCGACAAAAATGTTTTTAATAGTGGTCGATCTATAAATTGGAAGCGTATAGGTTGTTCAGAGAGAGCCGAAGGCAATGCTCGCTATACTTCTTGCAAGATGATGGATGAGAGCCGCTACGAGGAAAAAGGTAAGGGGTTAGAAAGTTGTTCCACGAGTTATATAATTCAGTTTAATTATGTATTATTTTTAAAATTGGTGAAAGAAGTTCATAGCCTAGTCCAAGGGTTGTAGAAAATACAAGAACCTATAATGGGAGACTTTTCCAAAAGAGATTGAAATGAGGTTATAGCCGCAAACAACATAAAAGAATAAGATATGATGTTAATTTGTTACTCGCAGCATGGACACCAGCAACGAGTACTTGAAGGGACATCACTGGTCATTTCATCAAGTGGAGGAAAAATAATTGAGAGAAAATTGCATACTCATAAGCTTCATTTGAAGCGATGAACAAATATTAACTTATATATGCATATAGATTCATAACAGCAGCAATACAATACCTATGATGTTTTGTGATATGTAAAATTCAAAAAATTTCCCGATTACAAACTGACTATCATTTTTTTTTCTTCAGAGTGCTGGGACGTAAGAAATAGAATATGATGTCATATAAATTACGACCAAGGCCTACACCATACTTCACTGTCTCACAGAAAACTGAATGAAGCTTCTTGTCTTACTTGGAATCTGAAATAGTATCTACATTTGCATCATTGTCAGTGATTGAAAGCATAATGTGATTGAAGTCTCAGTAACACGTATGGGTGTGGAGTTGGTGAATAGATGAATTAAAGGCCTGAACAAAATTGTATGAAAGCTATTGTGAAGAGTGATTCCCATTTTTTTCATAACATGTCATGGCAGAGAGCTGTATTCTTTGTTAACACTTTTGTGCATGTGAACAAAAGTAATAGATGCACATGATGCAGATAAGTAATCTCCCTGTTCTACCAATTCTTTATAATTTGGCAAATAAAAAGATGTCCTATAATTACCTTTTATAGTTGAAAACTATTATGAACTTGGGCAATTAATCAAGGAAGAGTTTAAAAAGATGAAAATAAAAGCGGATGTTTCAATCGGTTTGGAAGACCATGATGAATAAAGACTTTAAGTGGTGTTTCGAATACTAAAATTTCTTACCTGGAAGGAAAGTACAGCTCAGTTCAAGTAGAACACTTGTTCAGACTTTCTAAGAGATAAACTTTTGTTTAAATATGCGCGGTCAATTTTAGTAATGCTACTTCTAGCTAGTTCTAGATATTCAACCTTATTCTTTATGGTTAAAGCAATTCGATAGATGGCCCATAGTCTAAGAGTGGGAAAGCATTACATTAGAATTGCTGACAATCTTATAGAAGATGTAGAGTAAAATGTATTTGATTTGGAGACTGGATTGGTTGTTTATGACAAATTACTGATTCAGAGTGGTAACAGGTCCAATAAGCATTCCCTTCATCGGATGCTTTCTGAAGTTTCGATCCAATGTTCATAGGAAGATTGACCTTGCTTTTAGGTCCTCACATTAATGTAGATATATGTCACTTTATATACCTAGATCTATAAGACTGAACCTATCTATCCAAACTAAAGGCAGAACTCAATAATTGTAAGTACTTCACAATTTAACAAACATCAATGACTCTCCACAAACAGCAAGCTCTTGTCCTAAGGACAATACCTAGCAACCACTTCTAAAATTCTCCTATCCTCATCATAGGACATAGCCCAAAATGTGTAAAATTAAAATCGTCAACTGATGCAGGACATTTTCCAGCACAACAAAAGAGAAAGAGACGACCAATAAAAGAAACAGATCCAAATGTATCTCGAAAAGCTTCATTTTCTCTAAAAATTGCTCGTACGTAAATGCACAAAAAAATAAAAGAAGCTAATCATTAGTCAGAAATGTCGATACATATTAAATAAAAAGTTTTATATGAAGTTCAACAAAAATTTCCCCGATTACAAAAATTGCAGAAACTAAGGAAAAATGTGTATAACATTATAAATAGACCAATAAAGTTATAAGCTTTAATATCTAGAACAGAAAATGGGGATTCTTTTGGTCAATAAATTCACGAATTTTAGTGCATAGCCAAGAAAATGCAAATTATGTCTTGATGAAAATTTTAAACTGGATAGAAGTTCAAGTGGAAAGAACAAATAAAAGATTGGTAACAGAACACTTGGAATAAAGCACGACGATAGAACATTTAATATATATATCATGTCAACGCTTTTCCATTGCAGTTCTTCCATACATAAAACACATTATTTATTAAAGGGCTGGTGAATAAACGCAAAAAGACTTGACTTCGAAAAATAAGGAAACTTTTAATCACAATAGCCTTCAAAGTTACCTTCCTAGCTACGATTGAGAAAGTTCAAAATCCCTGAACTTAAAAATTTTAAAAATAAATAAATAAATAAGACCCAAAAAACTTGTAAAACCCAGTTATCAAATGCAATTCTTACCGTGCTAAAACAATTAAACGAAATTTACTTCACAAATAGCATAAATAAACAAATAGATGTCATAATAATCATACAGTTGAATGTACATATGAATGTACGTAAATAAGGAGAAAGGAGCACCTACTATCCTGTAACTCTAGATGTCTACTAACGTGTTGTATCAAATATTGAAATTGGCTTAAAACAAGCAGCTAACAATAATAAGAAAAAAATGAAAAAAAAAAAAAAAAAAAAACAAAAAAAAAAAAAAAAAAAAAAATTTTAAAAAAAAAAAAAAAAAAAAAAAAAAATCCAAACATGACAAGCAAGAAAGAATCTTAAACATAAAAATATATAAGACGAAAGAAACGAGGTAGTTAGCTGTGAAGCACCACATTCTTCAAAACAGTTAATTTGGTACAAGTTCTTACCCAGAATTTAAATAATACAGCCACGAAAAGCACATGTTTGTAAGTATGAACATGTTAGTGCATGCAGGGCCGGTCCTGGGCTGAGGCAAATGAGGCCTGCGCCTCAAGCCCAGGACCATAGGGGGCCTCGTTTTGGCCCAAAAAAAAAAAAAAAAAAATATATATATATATATATATATATTTCCCTTCTTAAGAACAACACCAGCCGGCCCAAGCCAAAACCAATTATCCAGCCGGCCGAAAAGGCCTAATTTTGGCCGAATAATTTTTTCCCCTCTTAAAAACAAGGCCAACCAGCCCAAAAAACCAAAACCAATTATCCAACGAGCCGACAATCCATTTACCTTTCAAATCTATTTACCCAACCCAATTTATATATCTAATATCCACTATCCAATCCAATTAACCAAAAATTCCCAAAATTCAATCAAAATTTCCAAAATTCCCAAAATTTGCTCTGCTCATCAGTCCACAATCCGACAGTTATCGCCACTCGCCTAAGTGTCGTCTTCTTCAGGTCAGTCGCCTCCTTTAGCTCCGACCACCGGTTTCTAAATTTTTTATATTATTTACTTCGTTGGAGCACTTGAAGACATTACCAATCTTGTAGTTATGAAATCCTTTTTGCCTACTGTTTTCTAGAATAGAATATCATTGAATTTATCTAGGTTTGTCTAGAGTTCCCAACTGATTATTACAAATGCGTTTTTCTAGAATAGAATTTTTTATTTATTATTATTTATTTATTTTTTCAGCTTATGTGGGTTTGTGAGTTGTTGAAAATTTTCTTTTTTGTTCTATTTCTTTACAAATTAATTAGAGATAAGGAGCATTGAATCTTGTCAGATACCATTATATCTGAGTGGGTGTGGTGGGTGTTGGTTGGGAGTGCGGGGGTGGGAAGTGGACGAGGAATTAATATCTATCTCTCTCTTTTTCTCCTCATTTTTTATTTCTTTTTATTTATTCCATGTTTTGTTCAGCTAAAGCCTAAACATAATTGATTAAAATTAGTAAACAATTAACCGTATATTTTATGGATTCACAACTTTTTAATCGTACATTCTATCAATTTTAATTAAAAAAAATATACTAGAAATCAGATGCTTATTTAAATCATCAACGACTTAATCAATTTAATTGTTTTATGTAGAAAAATATAAGTCTGTTCATTTTAAAAATGATGAAACGGTTGATTCTTGGTCACTTAACAGTCATTTTGGATAGAAATCATCTAGAGGTCCTTCGAACGCATATTTATTTATTAAAAGGTTTGAAATGTATCAGCTACAATTTTTTAGGTGTTAAACTGTCCTTTTTTATTTATTATTATTTATTTATTTTTTCAGCTTATGTGGATCAGTGTCCAATATTATTTTTATGGAATGTTAGGTCAGTAGGTCTGTGGATTTATGTAGTGTTTAGTTTACTGATTAGTGATTAGAGCCCAAAGTAGTTTTCGAGAATAGATTTTTGTTAGTTCCATGTAGGGCTGTATAGTGTTTTCTAGAGATTGTGGCCAATATTGTTTGCTGATTTTGATGGATGATCTCAGCATGAACTTTTCTTTACTTCTCCACATCTTCAGAAGTTGTAACTCAAGCTAGTTATTAAATCTGATAATCCAAAAGAAAACAACCATGACATGAGATTTTTCAAGCTGACTTGCCCCTTCACTTTGCTAACATCGAAACCATAAACTTATCCACATGGAAGAGCAACTGCGAAATAACTCTCCAGCAACTGCAAGTCGCACATTTTCAGTTTTACATACTAGTTTTCATTGAGTTATTATGATTTAAAATTACATTTCAATTCATAAGATTGAATTCTATTCATTTACTTCAAAATATAAATTGTATAGGCTTTATGTATTGTAATTGATTCAATTGTGTTCGGAGTAAAAGGTGAAATTGAATCGTTCTTCTTTTGGCTTTTGTGTAAAGCTATTATCATAAATTTAGTTGAAGAGTGCAAATTATTATTGTCTGTAGACTGGAATATGATGGTAACAATTTCACAAGACACTTGCAAATTAAGCATTTGACTAAATCAATAATTCAATAGTGATCCCATTTTTACTCGAGACTTTTACATCATCTGCAGGGTATTCCAATGTGTAACGACCCGGAACTCTCGTCCAAACCGTTAGCTTACGTACTGTCCGCTTTGGGTGAGTCGTGCGCCCACTTACCCCCCACGACTTTCTATCGCATTTCCCAAGATTCGAACTCTTGATCTCTACATAAGGTAGACTTAAGTTGAATCGTGGTACCAATTGGACCAATTGGATGAGAGGTCCGGATCGTTACAAAAAAAAGCGCATTTTTTTGTAACGACCTGCTCACCTAAGCCATTAGCTTACGTACTGTCCGCTTTGGGTGGGCCTTGCGCTCACTTATCCCTCACGACTTTTCTTCGCGTCCCCTAGGATTCGAACTTCTGACCTCTACATAAGAGACTTAAATCCCGATACCAATTGGGCAAGTTTTTGTAACGATCCGGACCTTTCGCCCAGCCGTTAGCTTACGTACTGTCCGCTTTGGGTGGGCCTTACGCCCACTTACCCCACGGCTTTCTATCACGTTCCCTAGGATTCAAACTGTTAACCTCTACATAAGAGAGACTTAAGTTGAATCGCGGTACCAATTGGCGCCAAAATGACTCGTGGTAAAGACAAGATAGACTTTGAGGAAGATTTGTTTTTTGATCTGGGGGAAGTTCTCGCTCCTTCACCTCGTAAACTCAGTAGTCTACAACTATCATTGCTTTTGTTCAATTATAAATAAATAAGCACTTTGATGGAGATTTGTAGCATCATTCAAGTAAATACAGATTGAGATCGTAGAAACATGAGCTTGTGATATAGCTACACCTAATTCCAGACTAGTTAATGCAAGAACTATAAATAAAGGACCAGGATCTCTTATGAAACGCCCAATTGGTACCACGATTCAACTTAAATCTCTCTTATATAGAGGTCAAGAGTTCAAATCCTAGGGAACGCGATAGAAAGCCGTGAGGTGTAAGTGGGTGCAAGGCCCACGCAAAGCGGACAATACCTAAGCTAGCAGCTCGCCCCAATTGGTACCACGATTCAACTTAAGTCTCTCTTATGTAGAGGTCAAGAGTTCGAATCCTGGGGAACGCGATAGAAAGCCGTGAGAGGTAAGTGGGTGTAAGGTCCATCCAAAGCAGACAGTACGTAAGCTAACGGCTTGGGCGAGAGGTCCGGATCGTTACACAGTGAGCTATATTAAGCATCGATAATGGGCTCTAGAGTTTGGTTCAAGAATATAATGAGCAAAAAGAAAGTGAGAGGTGACAGATCTCAAAAATTGAAGGTTTGCTGCTCTTAAATATTCTTAATTCCCTTATCACTAGATCTTAGTCTTGGCAATCTTAGACATCATATATTATTTTATATAAATTTTTGTTTCAGGCTCGTGAGTTGTGATGAGATCATTCTCAACGGTGTAATTCCACAATTATCGTCAAAATTCCACTTCTCAGATAAGCAATGGCTTGCCCTAACTTGTTATTAAAGAGATTGAAAATGTTTGAAGCCTTGTCAGCTTATATAATTGCAGCTTGGTCGGCTTATATGATTGGTTATTGTGAGATGAACAATTGCACAGATGCACATAGTAACTGTATTGGAAATTGTAATTGTGTGATGATTGAGATATTTTGTAATTGTTTTTTAGGTCAATTATTGGACATTATACACCGTTGAATTTTGTATTTATATAAATCGTTTCTATAATATATTTAGTTGTTTTAAAGTTAGTTTTTTAAGTTAGCAATGGATATAATAATACGCCGTTGAATTTTGTATTTACATTGCTTTCGCTGGGAGGCCTAATTTACACATTTCGCTTCAGGGCCCATCAATCACAGGACCGGCTCTGAGTGCATGCAACAAATCAAAGAACATTTCAAAATAGATGCAGGATTAATTATTCCTTCGAAATGCATTATGAGTACAGGTTTAGTTCATCTATTATGATGTCAAAAACATCTTAATGGTGAAAGCTTATATTGCTCGAGAAGAAAGATTCTATAAACTAGTGAATGCAATGCATGAAACATACTACAAAGATAAATGATAAAAGACTCTAGAATTATAGTTTAGTGGACTAATGTGCAACTGATACTTCCACCATATAAAACCATATATAACTGAATTTACATAGAAATGCAACAAATTTATTGGAGCAAGATAAAAATTTTAAGGGCTAATATACCTTGGGATGTTCCTCTACTTAATCATCCTCAATGCTGTAGTGTTTTGTTGCTGTATATGAAGATGCAACATCTTCATGCCTCCGACGATCGATATGCTACATTCTGATAAAATGAATTTAAACTTGTTTAACACAATATAAACACAAGATGCAAAAGGCTAAGAAGTTCTACAAATTACAAAGTCTACAACAAATTATGCCCATTGTTACAAGATTAACATAATATAGTAAACTCTTGAGCAGAAAAGGATTTCGAGTTATTTAATGCACATAATACAACATAATTATGCCAAGACAATCTTTGATCAGTATAAATAACAGAATTGAGAGCACACCCAGAATATTATTCAAGTTGCGAACAACCAAAATCAATTTCTCAAGACCACTGATGCTATTAGAGCAGTTATGCATGAAAAGATACAACCAAATAAAATTGAACGACAAAAGGAAAACACAAAAGACAAATATTCTATCAAAAGAAAAAGGACAAATATACCATCAAAAGAAGAAATCACATTATAATTTCAATGTCAAAACAAAACATACAAAGTAAGTTGAAATTCATACCCACTCAAAAGAAAAAACAACCTCAGCGCAAGAAATAACTAAAACTTTTGAAATTATGTATAAACCTCAAAAAACCTAAGCAAATCAATACATATAAAAGGAATTGTACCAAAAGAAAATGATAAACAAAAGAAAATTGATTCACGCAATTAAACAAACAAACATCCTATCGTTACTTGTACCACCAACACCAACTCTATTTTCCAAAGCCCTATTGACAACATTACCATCAACATGTAGTCAATTCAGTGAAATTATCATATCACCAATATTATTTCTGCTAAAATACTTTTAACTATGTATCATCAAGAAATTTTAAGTACATATAAAAAAGAACTAAAATTTTTGTGCATATATTCAACAAAGATATACTTTACCATTTCATACCCCAACTTACCCAAAATAAATACAACGCCAAGAATCAATAGCCCAAATCTTTACAAGATCCCAATTTCTTGTTCACATTTTCATAATTTTTTAAGAATTAATCAAATCAAAACAAAAAATCCATAAAAAGAAGTAGCCCAGAAATCAATATTTAAAAATTATCACACTTTTCCATTTTTGAGTTTACTAAATGGCAACTCGTAACTAAGAAAATCAGCAGCCCTCATTTAGGAACTTTTGACTTGAGAAAGTGCAAATAGGGAAATGAATTTAAAAGGCGTCATTTCTGAAATCCGTCTATAGTTAAAGAATCGAAGGAGTCTGTGAAATGCTCATTTAAAAAGATTTCTACCCAAAGAAATTGACATTAGTTAGTGCATATGAAAATTAGTGCAGAGGTTAAGGAAATATTGATCTTGAGAATTTTCTTTATTTTTCTAGAGGTTCTAATTAAAGGAAAATTAGAACAAATCTGATGACTCCATGGGGGCTGCCATGTCATATTTGAAAACAATTAATTATCTATAGGCTTAATTTTGATAGTAACCTTTTCAATACTTCAGCTTTTTTTCATAGGTGAAGAGAGATAATTGGTCAAAAAAGAATTCAGCCTAAAAAGGCAAATTAAAGATTGGCAAACACAAATTTGAAAGAGTACCACGTTTGTTTACATTAATAGAATAATATGATGGAGTTATATGTGGATATGATATAACTATTTCTATCATCTAAAGGATTTTCTATAACTATACACCATGCAGAAATATATGAGTTTCAAAATATCTAACTTTAAAACTAACCAAAAAATCAGAAAGAAACAATACCAAAAAGAGTACAGGATAAGCATTTGTGACTCTGTCCTTGGGCACATACACATTGACTACATATAAAAAGTATATGATAAAAATCTCAAATTCTATAAACATGAAATCAATAGATTTAAAAAAAAAAAAAAAAGGTCTATATAATGATTAGTGATCACTCCAACAAAAATCATTTTGATAAGGTAATTATGCAGAAAAATATTGGAGGCAACACAAATCCAGGCACCCACAAAAACCAATTAAGATTTTCTTTTTTCCCCTCATGTTGAGATTAGAGTACAATGGGAAAGTACAATGGTCTTCAACATAATGAAACTGAGATAGGCTACAAGATATGAGAAACTATTAAGAGGAACTCATAATCAACACATCGACAAATCTAATATACCTAATGCAAATGCAGAAATACAAAGGTTCAGGGTAAAGGAGGAGAATCAGTACATACCTACTCATTAGCCAATGGTGGAAGGCCACCAAGATATAGTCAACTTGCATACCTTGTAGCCTAGGGATGAAGTAAAGATAAGGAAAAAAAAGTCAAAATTACATAAGCAAGTAAAGGAGAAGCATTGCCTGTTTTTACCTGCTGACTCGTGGCTTGGATTGGTAACAATGGACTATAACTCACCTGGTAAACCTATTAGCATGCATTGTATTTCGTGAGAAAAATGATGGTCACCTTCTGAAATTCATAAAGATAGTGCAAAAGAAAAAGAGAGGGCTACTAATGAACTCAGTGCACCTGAGTTGTCTCAGAGGTATGCGACGCAACATTCCAGAAACTACTTCAAGAGCAAAGGAATTCCTTTCAAATGTTAATAGACAGGCAAGCCCGCTGTTTTTTCCATATCATTAAGTTTTGTGGGCATCTACTATGATGCAGTCAAGATCTTAACCAAGTGGATACATTTTTATTTTGGTTGCTTAGTAAAAACAATATGAAAAATGGAATCAAATTCATTAATTATTTGATGCAAGAAAATTTTAACATTCACGTAATAGAAAAATAATTTATTTTTTTTTATTTTTTTTAAGTTTCATGATTGTGGCTAAAATAAAATTACACATCAGAAGAGGAAAATGAGAATATAACATCATTCAGAAAAATTACAAGATTTAAAACATATATTGAACACCACAACTGCAGAAACCAGTTAACATATACACAATAGGGAGGAATTCAACAAAGAACACGCAAAAAGAACATCAAAGGAAGAGACTTGAACTATCCTAGTTAGATTTCTTAAAAGATCGAACAAAAAAGGAAGACTCATATTGAATACCACGGCTGTAGATACCCGAAAACATATACACATCACGAAGAAATTCAACAAAAAATACACAAAAATAACATGGAAAGAACAGAGTTAGGTATTTTAGGTTCGATTTCTTAAAAAGATCCAAAAAATTGAAAAAAAAAATTGCAATTCAATAGCCCAACTAAACAAACGGAAAGCAATATAGAAGATATGTAGAAATTCAACAAGTGAAATTGTACTTACAGGTGTATATCTCGGTTGACTACAAATAATTTGGGTTTATTCTCTACGATCACAAGACGAAAGTGATATTAGGATTAAGGGAAAGAGATAATGGGTTCGAAGAGTCATAGTTCCATATTTATGTGTATTCCCCCCCCCCAAACGGCATAGTATAGGGAAAGCTGGTTGATGGACAGATGGAACCGGATATGTGTGAAAAGGATGTTTCCAAAATGAATAGTGAAAGTGGATCCTCTCTTTTTTAGGAATATTGATGATATAATATATA